AAGTAAAGAGAAGTAAAAGCATCTTGTCTTCTTAAAGGTTACCTCTATATACTTAAAGAAAATATGTTTAAGTATGTGTGGTAAATATTTTGGCATTATACATTTATAAAAACAGAAACAATTCATAACATTCAAAGAATTAAAAAATAAATTTTAAAGAATACTGTCGGGAGAAAAGGAAAACTAAACAAAGCATATAAATAGACAATTCACTGAAGAATAAACACAATGTCCAATAAATATAGAAGACACTGAACAGCAATCAGGAAAATGCAAACTATAAAACAATGATATACCATTTTTTAGAGATAAAAATTAAGAAGTTCGCTAATATCAAGGTATACTTTGCTAGAGTGGCTATAAATTGATACACCTATTTTCTAAAGTAGAAAGCATATATATCAAAAAATTCTGCTTCCTACTATGTACTCTAAAAAAAACTTTTGCATCTTTAGCCATGCCACCCTGAACAAGCCCGATCCCATCTGATCTCAGAAGCTAAGCAGGATTGAGCCTGGTTAGTACTTGGATGGGAGACCACATAGGAGGACCAGGTGCTGTAGGCATAAAAAACAAAAAATTAAGGGATTATAAGCTGACAAGGTCCTTGCAATCTGTGAGGTCAACCAAGGGTTGCCTCGCCTAAAAAAAATAAAATAAGTAAATAAAAATAAAATTTAAAAAAGCTTTTGCATTTGTACATATGTGCAAAGAGTACCAACAAGGATGTTTATTGAAACATTTTTGTAGTAATGAAAAATTGTAAATAAACTAAATATCAATCAATATGGACAATTAAATATGTGTGGTAAATATTTTGGCATTATCCTACATGAATACCATGCAATGATTAAAAAGAATATTATAGATCTAAGACTATTGGCCTGAAATGGTCACAAACATGAAAAAGACAAGCTTTATGTATAATATAGGAAGTTATTTTACAACAAAATGTATCAATATTATTTGTGCAATTATAAATAAAAACACTTAAAAGAAAATAAAAATTAACAGAGAAATAACCTAACAGTCTAAGAATATGAAAGTGGTAGAAAAATAAGTCTACCAATTCACCTTTAATAATGTTGCTTTTTGAAAAGCATTGTTCATATTGAAATTAATTGCGAATATTATCATGAATGTAACAATTCAATCCTAAACCATCAATCGAGAGCATGACCTCTGAATTCAAAGTCTCACTCTTATATACACAATTTATTGACCAATCTATAGAAAACAAAAAATCATTGAAAACTGACAAATTGATCAAGAAGAATCAAGACCAGTTCATTGCTACCCTTCCCCTACTGCAATCACAATGGTCTGTCCACAACACATGGTGGGGTGCATTACAGGAATGCTGTCAAGACAACATGGCCAAAATTAAAATTTAAAAAAATAATAAAACAGAATTGGTTTCAGGCAAGGGCAGAGCAGACATCTATTAAGAGGCAGCTTGTGAAATCAGAGTAGAAGTCAGATGCTTTCTCTTTTTCCCTCTCAGTGGTTGCTGAATCAATGCGATCATAAGAGCCATGGTGATTTGGGAGCTGGCCAAGAGGCCAGGTGACTCAACATTGAATTTCTTGTCTCTCGAGGCGATTTCTCTCACCAGTGCAAATTTATACCAGAACAGAGAACAGTTACCTTCTTATCAGTCAGGAAAAGATATATATTAAAAGTTGTTTTTTTTTTTCAGTGCTGGCTAGCAAAGAAAGCTAAGGGAAGTTGGCAAGGAAACGAAGCCTGATTCCCCCATTATGAAGCCAAAGATCTCCAGTTACCAAAAAAAAAAAAAATCTGTGGCAAGGGTAACTGCTGTCTTCTAAGCCCCTTCAGGGTAAGAAACAAACATTTATCTTTCCTTTTATTACATTCTCATTAAAAATAAGCAGCAGTTATATTTTCCTTAAGTAAAAACTGACCCCAAGCAATAGGGTCATCTGAAAACAAAGAATCAGAAGTAGGCAAGAGGAAAATAAAAACTCAAACAATAGGGTCCTCTTAAAAACAAAGACTCTAACGATGAAAAACTAAAAACCTTCCCTCTAAGATCAGGAACAAGGCAAGGCTGTCCACTATCGCCACTGTTATTCAGTATAACATTGGAGATCCTAGCAAGAACAATCAAGCAAGAGAAAGATATAAAAGGCATCCAAATAGGAAATGAAGATGCCAAACTGTCACTATTTGTGGATGACATGATTCTCTATATAGAAAACCCTAAAGATTCCACAAGAACACTACTAGAAACGATAAGCAAACACAGGAAAGTTTCTGGTTACAAAATCAATGTTTAAAAATACAAAGCGCGCTGACACTCTAATAATGAAGTATCAGAAAAAGAAGTGTAAAAATATAATTCCTTTTGCAATTGCAACAAAGAGAATAAAATATCTAAGAATAAATCTATTGAAACATGTAAAATATATAATGAAAACTATAAGACCGTATTAAAAGAAACTGAAGAAGATACAAAGAAATGGAAAGATACTCTGTGTTCTTGGATTGGATTGGAAGAAATAGTTAAAATGACCATATTACATAAAGTATTATACAGATTGAATGCAATCCCCATAAAATCCCATCGGTATTTTTTAAAGAAATAATATAATACATCATCAGATTTGTATGGAAGCACAAAAGACCCCAATTGCCAAAGCCATCTTGAGAAAAAACAACGAGGCCAGAGATATTATTCTACCTGACTTCAAATTATATTACAAAGTGACAATAATCAAAACACCATGATATTGGCAGAAAAAC